AGAGAGAAAGGTCTTCCTTTGCCATTGGTTCACCTTCCAATGGCCGCCGCGGCCAGCGCACTGTGGCCAGCACACCGCGCTGATCCGATGGCAGGAGCCAGGTGCTTCTCCTGGTCTCCCATGGGGTGCAGGGCCCAAGCACTTGGGCCATCCTCCACTGCACTCCCTGGCCACAGCAGAGAGCTGGCCTGGAAGGGGGGCAACCGGGACAGAATCCGGCGCCCCAACCGGGACTAGAACCCGGTGTGCCGGCGCCGCGGCTCACTAGGCTAATCCTCCGCCTTGCGGCGCTGGCTCCCAGCATCATTTCTTGAAGAGACTGTCCCTTGTCCAGGGATTGATTTTAGCTCCTTTGTCAAAGATTAGTTGGCTGTAGATGTGTGGATTTATTTTTGAGGGTTCTATTCTCTCCATTGGCCTACATGCCTATTTCTATGTCAGTACCAGGCTATTTTGACTATAACTGCCCTGTGATATGTCTTGAAATCTGGTATCATGATGCCTGCAGCTTTATTTCTGTTGTTTAAGATTGGTTTAGCTATTTGGGGTCTCTTGTGGTTCAATATGAATTTTAGCATCATTTTTTCTAGATCTGAGAATGTCATTGGTATTTTGATTGGGATAGTATTGACTCTGTAAATTGCTTTCAGTAGTATGGATGTCCTCTTTTGTCTTTTGTCAGTCTGGGTGGCAGGGACAGAGAGCACTAAAGGGCCTCCACAAATGTATTAGCAGGTTTGGATTTCAGTATCAGCATGGCAAAGCCTTAACATTTCATGGATTTTTCTGATACCAGTTTGTCACCATCCTCAATCAGGTGTTCCTGGATGGAAAGTACTGTCCTCAGTGGTGATATAGTGATCAGACTCCTTATAGCATGTGACCCTGCATATAGCACATGGCTCCAAAGGTTATCGTGCAATTGTTTCTCAATCTAAAGAGTCCTCTTCAGAAGTATATCTGCCTCTGGGAGGAGAACAAGCCCTTACCGAATCTGACACCTTCTATTCTTTTTAACAAACTCTCTCCTAGTTTCTCTGGCAGATTCAGGCCAAGACTCTTTGTCTTACCATGGACACTGAGAGACTGAGGAGAGTCTTTCTCACAAGAAGAGGAGAGAGCCCTCAGTGGATGACTAACTGGATGGCCTTGGAAGATCTAGGGCTTAAGTCATAGGTCCCTCCTTAGATACAGAGGACTGATACTCTGCTGAGACCTGTGGGGAGAGGAGGGAAGGATTTGGCCAAAGGTCTGATGTTTTTCTTTAGAACTCATTTTCATATTTGAAAAACAGGCAAGAGCCTTTGAACTGGGGAAGGTGTAGAATATTTCAAGTGTTAATAAAATCAGGAAGGTTAGGATGTACTTTAGCATGTTGTTGAATGTCATTCTTTCCATGTATGTAATACGTATCCTGTTTTTTATCTTTTCAAGTTTGTCTTTGGTAAGAAATAGGCTATGTTGCACTGGTGTTTCTGATGACATGGGATGATTTTAAGTGATTTAGCGACTAAACATTGTTATAAATGAATCACATAGAAAATCATTTCTTTAAACTGTTGAAAGAGTTTTGAAGACAACCTTTTACATTTTCTCTGATTCTTGCTAATTTTCCTTTTTAACAAAGAGAACAGGTCTCAGGTTGACAACCTTTTGTTATCATGAATATCTTCCCAGGTTTTAACAAAAACAATTTGCTTTCATTACCTTATGGAAAATGATACTGGCTTTCCATTTAGTGTGATAGAAATTTAAACCAGGAAAATACTCTAAATGAGATAATCAGAAGAAAATGCTAAAAAATAATAGTGCCGGTGATAAGTGGATGTAGCCTGTGTGTGTTTGTATGTGTATATCTATGTGCAATGTTGCTATGCAAATACTGATATCATTCTAGAACCTCTGGTCCTTTTTTATTTCTTAAGTATGTTCTTGTGAGAAGGATTTTGGAATCCAAAGGAGCTAAACTGCTATAGAAACATTTAAAGCAATAGATAGGCAACAGCCAAACTGCAGTAGCTTTTGCTTATTTAAATCCTTACACCACATTCTGGTTTAACAAAATTCTTATCATTATATTAGTATTCTTGCAGTGAAATGTAATTAAAATTGTATTATGGGGGTATTTCAAAATGTTTGCAGGGGGGCCGGCGCCATGGCTCACTTGGTTAATCCTCTGCATGTGGTGCCAGCATCCCATATGGGCACCAAGTTCTAGTCCTGGTTGCTCCTCTTCCAGTCCAGCTCTCTGCTGTGGCCCAGGAGTGCAGTGGAGGATGGCCCAAGTGCTTGGGCCCCTGTACCCACATGGGAGACCAGGAAGAAGCACCTGGTCCCTGGCTTCAGATCGGCGCTATGCTGGCTGTTGTGGCCATTTGGGGAGTGACCCAATGGAAGAAAGACCTTTCTCTGTCTCTCTCTCTCACTGTCTAACTCTGTCAAATTAAAAAAAAAAATTGCAGGAAAATGGAATTAAAAGATTTATTTTAGTCAAAGTTTTGAAATCTATGCACAGTTTTTTCATAATACATATTTTCTACAAACTTTTTGAAGACCCCTCATATGTGTATTACTTACAGAAAAGATGTTTATAGTGTATTATTGTAGTATCATGGAATTTTAGAACAGAGAGGGACATTGCTGACATTTTCCTGATCAGATAAATAGGTCAATTAGCTTTTTGTCTTAAACCTGTAAAGGTACCCTCTGAACTCTCCACAACACAGACTCACCTGCAACAATTCTGTATACAGTTCATGTTGATCTAGAGGCTGCTGATTCAAGAATCCGTATAGTAGCTTGTTCCTTTATTAACCAAATTTTAACTAAAACTTAGATGGTGCTAGAACACCCAATTCTATTTCTCAGGAAATAACACCATAGATATATTAGCAATACTGTTGACGCAGATAGCATTGTTTGTTGTAATGTTTATTGACACTTAATTTTTATATTTCTTATCATTTAATTACTTGATTAGTTCTGCTAATTGCCCTAAGAATTTAACATTGGCTTATAATTAGAGGTGTATGTTCTTACAGCATTCCAAAGCAAAATATTAGATGTCTATATTAAATTCAAGCAAAAGTGTGAGGGAAATCATTTCAGCATTTCTCAGGTGAGTTGCTGGCTCTTAAGGTGAATAAGGTGGTGGTGACTGTTCTGCAGAGACTTTCTCATAGGCAGGTGGAGCATTGGGAACCTGTGAAGATGAGAAAGGAAGAATATAGGCTTGGCAACAGTGTATATATTTTGCCATGGACTTAAAGTTCTGAATGTTCATATCTACTTTCCACCCAATGAGGTAATTGTTAAATTTCATAAATTTTTATGTTGAATCTTTGTTGGGGGAAAGGGTAGAGAAAAATAGGGCTAAGAGGTTTCCCCAAATCTCAAAAGCTTATTTATCTCTGCCTTATCCATGTCAGAAATCCCAAACCCTGATAGATTCTGGAATGCAAGTTAGAGATAGTAATATACATTACCTCTTTTTTTAAATATTTGTTTATTTGAAAGTCAAAGTTAGAGGCAGAAACACAGAGAAATCTTCCATGTGCTGGTTTACTCCCCAAAAGACCACAACAGGAGCAGCTTCTTAGTCTCCCATGGGGGTAGCAGGGATCCAGGGACTTGGGCCATCTTTCACTGCTTTCCTAGGTACATTAGCATGAGCTGGATCAGAAGCGGAGCTGCCAGGACATGAACCAGTGCCCATATGGGATGCAGTGCTGCAGGAGGTGGCTTAACCTGCTGCACCACAGCACCAGCCCCTAAATATTGCTTCTTTGCTGCATAGATCCTTGTAGTTGTTTCTAAAGGCAAAATTATACTATCAGTCTGTTAAGCCTACATTAATCCTTTCAATTCCAAGAATATTTTCTCTGTTTTTATGTTACAGAGTGACACAGAAAAATTAAATCACTTGCGCACAGTCATGCACAACTAGTAAGTTAGGAGCTAAGAATCAAACACAGGAATTTGACTTGAGTTAGGGCACTCCATCATTATGCATCTGCACTAGCCCTGTCCAATAGAAATGTAACATAAGACACTTATATAATTTTAAAATTTGAGGTACAAGTGTTTGGCCTGGCCATTAGGATGCCATGTCCCATATTTGAGTGTCTGTGTTTGATGCCTGCCTCAGTGTTTTCCTGATGAACACCCTGGAAGTAGAAGTGATGGCTCAAGTGTCCGGGTTCCTGTCATGTATATGGGACACCTGTACTGAGTTCCTGGATCCTGATTTTGACCCCTCAGTATTGCAAGTGAACCAGCTATTTGGAGGATGAACCAGCAGATGGGGGAGCATGCTCTCTCTATAATGAAATGAATGAAATTTTTGAAGATTTTTAAAATTTCTGGTAGCTACACTTAAAAACCAAAAAGAAACAGGTAAAATTAATAAAATATTTTTATTTTACCCAGTATTTCAAGATACAATCATTTTAACATAATATGAAAATTACTAATGAAGTAGTTATATTTTCTATAGACTATGTCTTTTAAATATAGTAATGGCTACAGTACATCTTAATTTATACTACTGTATTTCAAGTGTACATGAGAAGTGTGTCTAGTGGCTACCCTATGGGAGAGCACAGCTCTACAATTCATAACAATTCATAACATTTTTCCTCACCTATTTATATCTATGCTAATGAAAAAAAAGTAACTTAGAAACATAAGGGGGTATTGTATCTGGAACCAAATTCTTCCTTCAGAGCTCATGAATAGGGTGCTCATTATGGACCCTGGAACATCTGAGTGTGAGAGTACATGATTCAAGAAAATGTCTGGGCTTTCCCTGCTTTTTGATTTGTAATATTTGCTTTTTATTGTGGCAAAGTATATGTAACATAAAATTTGCTATTTGACCATTTTTAGGTACATAGTTCTGTGACATTAAGTACATTCACATTATCCTTGCTTTTTAAATGGAGGTCATTTTATTCAGTTGAGTTTAAAGTAGCCGTACATGAAAACATCTACATGCACATTCTCAACCTACCAGAAGTTCACAGTTTTTCTCTTGAAAGAACAGGTTGCTGTCCTGTTGACCAAGCTGCTCTTGTGGACCTCTCCCCATTAAAGTACTTTGGATACCAGCTTGAAGACTTTTGTCCTGAAATGTAAGTTCATAAAAGCGAGTGGGTGAGAAGAAATAACTGAGTCCAGTAAAGAAAAGAAAATGAAGCCAAATTTTTATGAATGAGGTTTTAATCTAGGTTCTTCCATTTACCTCCTGTGTGTCCTCAGTCTAGTCACTTTTTCTCTCAATTCCAGATTTTGCTTCTGTAACAGGAAGATGATACTACATAACTCTGAGACTTGTAGTGGGAATTAACTACTGGTAAAGCACTGGTGCAGTACCTAGCATCTGTAGTCAGTCAATGAATATTGTGAAGGGAGGAGAAGTACATCAACAAAATGAGCCTCTTGTGAAATTGTCCTTCAAATATGAAGGACAAATGAAGATTTTCTTAGACAAATATTGAGGGAATTTGTTGCCAGGAGACCTGGGTTGCAAGAAATACTAGTAGTAGTTATTAGAAGGAAAATAACATCAGATCAGAAACTCAGATCTACATAGAGAAGTGCATAAATGAAGGTAAAATAGAAACTTATTTTTCTTAATCTAACATATAACCGTTCAATGAAGGAGAAAGGGATTAGGATTGTCACTATAAGGTACTCATACTACTTATGAAATGACACCATGTTACTTAAAAGTGGGTTTTGATGAGTTACACATGTAATTTTGCAAACTCTAGGGAAGCCACTTAAAACCCTGAAAAAGATGTATAGCCAGTATGCTAAGAAAGGAGAGCAAATCATATCATAAAATGTTCAGTTAAGACCACAAAAGGCAGAAAAAGTAGAAGAAAATTTAGGAAGAAAAAAGATAACAAAATGACAAATATGATTATATCAATACAAATATATCAATAATCATACTGAACAGGAATGATTGTCTGAGTGGATCAAGAAATGAGAGTTATGTGTTGTCTACAAGAAATTCATTTTAAAAGTTAATCCTCCGCCTTGCGGCGCCAGCACACTGGGTTCTAGTCCCGGTCGGGATGCCGGATTCTGTTCCGGTTGACCCTCTTCCAGGCCAGCTCTCTGCTGTGGCCAGGGAGTGCAGTGGAGGATGGTCCAAATACTTGGGCCCTGCACCCCATGGGAGACCAGGATAAGTACCTGGCTCCTGCCATCGGATCAGTGCGGTGCGCCGGCTGCAGCGCACCGGCCACGGCGGCCATTGGAGGGTGAACCAACGGCAAAGGAAGACCTTTCTCTCTGTCTCTCTCTCTCTCACTGTCCACTCTGCCTGTCAAAAAAAAAAAAAAAAAAAAAGTCTACACTAAAAGTAAATATGAGGAGTCTTCAAAAGGTCATGGAAAATGTGAGCTACGAAATAACTGTAAGGATTTAACAGCAGAAACAATAACCAACGCCATAGCCATCTCAACTGGTTCAGTTTACAGAATTCTAACTGAAAAGTTAAAGTGGAGCAAACTTTGTGCTGGATGGCTGCTAAAACTGTCGCATCCTGAACAGCTACAGACAGGAGCAGAGCTTTCAACAGAAATTTTAAATAAGTGCAATCAAGAGACACAAGCATTCCTTTGAAAAATTTGAGCAGAATATAAAACACAGCTTTATTAATATAATCTTGAAGACAAAGTAAGGGCTACCAAGAGGTGGAAGTGGTCCAGAACAAAGGTCATGGCAATAGTTTTGGCGAATACTCTGGCATGTTGCTTATTGGCTCTCTGGAGGGCCAAAGAAAATAATATTTGCTTATTAGGACAGTGTTTTGAGAAAATTACATGAAGCTTTAGAGGAAAAACATCCAGAAATCTTCACCAAAGAAACTTCCTCCACCATGACATTACTACTGCTTATAAACAGCTTTTTTTTTTTTTTTAATTTGACAGGTAGAGTTATAAACAGTGAGAGAGAGAGACAGAGAGAAAGGTCTTCCTTTCATTGGTTCACTCCCCAAATGGCCGCCACGACCGGCGCTGGGCCAATCGGAGGCCAGGAGCTTCTTCCTGGTCTCACATGTGGGTGCAGGGCCCAAGCACTCGGGCCATCCTCCACTGGCCTCCTGGGCCACAGCAGAGAGCTGGGCTGGAAGAGGAGCAACTGGGACTAGAACCCGGTGCCCATATGGGATGCCAGCACCGCAGGTGGAGGATTAACCAAGTGAGCCACAGTGCCGGCCCCTAGTACTACTGCTTATTCCTCTCATAAAGCAAGGGTAATTTTATGAGGATTCAACAGAAAATTATTAGGTCTCCATCTTCCCATCATGATTTGCCTCCTTTCAACTTCTTTTTGTTTTGTCATGTTAAAAAAATCATTAAAGGGGTCCATTTATTGTCAGTTAATAATGTAACAAATACTGCCTTGATATGGTTAAATTCTCGAGACCCTCAATTCTTTAGTCCTAGACTAAGTGGCTAGTGTATGGCTTGCAAAGTGTCTTGAACCTTTTACAACTTATGTTGAGAAAGTTTATATTTTTCATTTTTATCTTATAATTCCATTTTCTGTAAATTTTTACATTTTATTTATTTCTACTTTATTTGAAAGGGAGAGTTAGAGAAGGATCTTCAATGTGATGGATACCAAATGCCCACAATAACCAGGGCTGGGCCCAGAACCCAGGAGCCCATAACTCCATCTGTTTCTCCTGTGTGGTGGCAGTGACCTGACTACTGGGCCATTATCTTCTGTCTTTCAGGATATGCGTTAGTGGAAGCTGAATTGGAAGCAGAGGATTCAGGAGAGGATCCAGGTATTCCAATATGGGATGTGGCATCCCAACTAGCATCTTAACCACTACATCAATTGCCCACCACTCTATCAACTTGTTGTTGAAGTCCCCTCAGAGATAAAGAGATACCATGCTATATTAGTAATCAAAATAAAGTGGGCATTTCTATATTAATTTCAGGAAGCAGACTTCAAAATAAGAAATGTCATCAGAGATGTCATCAGAGATAGACAAGGCCTTACGTAATAATAAAAGGATCCATTCTCTAAGAAGTCATAACAATACTTAGCTTGTACACACCTAGTTCCAGAGCATCAAAAATGTGTAAGACAAAAAGTGATAGATCTGTTAGGAGAAATGGTTAAAGATGTAGTTGGAGACTTCAATACTCCTCTATCAGAAATAGACTATCTAGCTGGCAAAAAATCAGTAAAGCCGTAGTTTAACTCAATAAAACCATGAATTAACTAGATTTAATAAGCAACTGTAGCTACTTCATCCATAACAGCAGGATACAGAATTCTTCTTTAGCTCATGGAACATTCACCACATTCCAGAACATAAAACATATCTTAAAAATCTTTTTAAATAAAAACACTATGCTGTCAGACTACAACTGAATTAAAGCAGAACTCAGAAATGATAACTAGAAAATTCCAAAATATTTGAAGATTGAACTTCTATATAACACATGGGTCAAAGAAGAAATCTAAAGAAAAATCTTGAAATATTTTAACTAAGTGAAATTGAAAATATAATAATGAAATTTGTGAGATACAACAAAAGCTGCACTTACAGGGAAATCTTAACATTGAACACATATATTAGAAAAGAAGAGGGGAGGTATAGCAAGGTGGTCATGGAATAAGATGCTGTGGCAATTGTCTCCCCACAGAGAGCGATTGGAACAGCTATTCATGCAAGTCCTCTTCACGAGGAGCTATAGAAGCTAGGTGAGAGAACTTAGAGCCCAGTTAAAGTGTGATAAGACACATTGAAGAGGGTCAGAAGGAAACATGTCACACACATACCACCAGCTCCAAGTAGTGCAGCATGGAGAGATGCTTACCACTTGGTAGAGGGAGAGAGAATAGGGTCCAGACCTTAGACTTGAAACCTAATACCAGGCCTGCTATGGTGAAACCTAAAGTCAGATAGAGTCCCACAGCTTCTGCCCCTAGGCCAGTTCCAGAGCCTTTGGATCCTCTTTAACCAGGCTGCCAAGAGACCACTTCCACCATCCCTCCCATAGCCTCCAAAAGACAGCTGAGCAAGATTCCAGCCACTGGAGAGTAGAATGGGAACAAACAAGACTCTGCTTTGAAGCTCAGTGCCAGGCCAGCCGTCACAGATACCATGGCTAGATCTTTCCCAGCATCATGCATGCTTGGCATACACTTAGAGTACACAGGACCCACTGACATTGAGAACCCAGTTCAACCTAGCTTAATGCCAACCTGGGCAGCCAAGGAACTGCCTTCACCATTCCCACCCCAGCATCAGGCAGAAAGCAAATACTTCAACCTCGGGTGTAGGGCAGGAAAGTAAGTTCATAGTTTTAGCTTGAAGCTCAGTGCCACTCCCACTGTGGTGATAGCCAGCACCCGATTTGGATCAGAGACCCTTCTCCCAGGTCAGTACTCAGTGAGGCTCTAGTCCTGCCCCGCCATCAGGTGGAGACCTTCATCCTGGTAAAACACATGAGTGTTTCAGCCTGCATTACTCTCAGTCTCTCATGGGCTAAGCATGCACCCCCAAGACAGGGTAAGGTCCTACAGCTGTGTAAGTCAGGTGCAATCCATTTTATGTCAGCCTGGGTGAACAAAGGACTACTTTCATCAACCCTCCCCACAACTGTGGGCTGAAAACAAGTAGCAAGACTCCAGTCACTGGAAAACAGCACCAAGGTGAGCACAGACTGTGTCTTGAATATGGTAAAACCATCACTGGGCAGATACTAACGCCGTCTGTCCCCAAGCTGGTGCCTCTAGGTGGAGCCCCTGAACCTTCCACAGTCCCAAGTGAATTGTCCCATGGCCCCAGTCAATTGGACTTACATCCTGGCCAGCATTACCTGTGATTGGTTGAAGGCAGCCTTAAGCTGCAAGCCCAACTCAGAAGCAGACAGTCCCCAGCAAATTGGCTTTGGCCCCATTTCATGCTCTGCTGGACTTGGAAAGCTGTGGACTTTGGTTGTAATCTAGCATTGTGGTGTAGACAACCCAATACTGCTCACACCTTTCCTCCTCAGCCCCAGGCAGAATAACATGAAGAAAGTAATTGTCTTCTTGGGGAGGAAAAGGTAGGTGGATTCCAAGGCACTGCATAGAAACCTATCACCATGGAGATATGTACATGCTGCTGGATTTTGGGCTGATGCCTCCTGTCTCCTCTGCCACAGTGATCAACTACATGGAAAAAGAAATGAGGAGACTACCCTACAGGATCCAACTGGAAATAAAGACAAAATGACCTACTACTAAGTAGATCTATATCTTTTTTTTATTTTTTTATTTTTTGACAGAGTGGACAGTGAGAGAGAGAGACAGAGAGAAAGGTCTTCCTTTGCCGTTGGTTCACCCTCCAATGGCCGCCATGGCCGCCACGGCCGGCGCACTGCAGCCGGCGCACTGCGCTGATCCGATGGCAGGAGCCAGGAGCCAGGTGCTTTTCCTGGTCTCCCATGGGGTGCGGGGCCCAAGCACCTGGGCCATCCTCCACTGCACTCCCTGGCCACAGCAGAGAGCTGGCCTGGAAGAGGGTCAACCGGGACAGAATCCGGCACCCCAACCGGGACTAGAACCCGGTGTGCTGGCGCCGCTAGGTGGAGGATTAGCCTAGTGAGCCGCAGCGCCGGCCAGTAGATCTATATCTTTAAGAAAAAGCATTTTACCATGAAAGTCACTTGTTAAGTGTGATAGAAATAACTAATCTGGGAGCTGGCACTGTGTCATAGCAGGTAAATCCTCCACTTGCAGTGCTGGCATCCCAAGTGGGCACAGGTTTAAGTCCTGGCTGCTCCACTTCCTATCTAGCTCCCTGCTAATGTGCCTGGGAAAGCAGCAGAAGATTGCCTAAGTCCTTGGACCCCTGCACCCACAAAGGAGACTGGGAAGAAGCTCCTGGCTCTTGGCTTCAGATTGACCCAGCTCCAGCTGTTGTCATCATTTGGGGAATGAACCAGTGAGTGGAAGATTCTCTCTCTCTCTGCCTCTTTGTAACTCTGCCTTCTATATAAATAAATAAATCTTTAAAAAAATTAACTGATCCACCAGATGCATGAGTATCAATGTAAGGAAATAGGAATGTGACAAGGCAAGGCAGTATCATGGCCCCAAAGGAACACAATAATTCTTTAGTAACAGACTCCAAAGAAAAGGAGATTGACAAAATGCCTGATAAAGAATTCAGAAGAATAATTATTAGAACACTGAAGGAGATAAAATAGAATTAAATGAAATCAGGAAAACTGTATATGATATGAATGAGAAATTCAGGAAAGAGAGCGATCCTGTAAAATAATCAAAGGGGCCAGTGTCATGGTATAGCTGGTTACGCTGCCACCTACAGTGCTGCATCCCATATGGGTGTGGGTTCAAGATCTGGCTGTTCCACTTCTGATCTGGCTCCCTGCTAATAAGCCTGGGGAAGCAGAAGATGGCTCAAGTATTTGGGCCCCTGTACCCATTTCATAGACCTGGAAGAAGCTGTGGGCTCCTGGTTTTGGCCTGGCACGGTCCCAGCCATTGCAGTCATTTGGGGAATGAACCAGTGGATGCAAGATTCTCTCTCTCTCTCTCTCTCTCTCCCTCTCCCTCTCCCTCTCCCTCTCCCTCTCCCTCTCCCTCTCCCTCTCCCTCTCCCTCTCTCACTCTCACTCGTACTGAAAATGAGAATGGAAATGAAAATGTAAATCATAATCCACATCTTAAATTCAGCAATAGAACTAGAAAGAGAAATAGCAATAGCATTAGCGATAGCATGAGCAAGAGCAAGCTCAAGAGAGGTACTCTGTCTAAGTCTAGGTCTCAGTCTTAGGCATAGCCTAACTGAGC